ACGACTCAAAGATCCATGAGACGTAACATTCGATCCCACGGTATCCTCGTCTCGGGAAAAGAAAATGTGACGACTTCGGTTCATTCAGTACTTCAACCCCTTGGTGGGTATGTACTTCAGTACTTCAACCCCTTGGTCGATATGAACCAATCATTGTTGAGTACAGGGGTGCCTGCTCTCAGTCTCTCGTGTGCCTTGGTCAGAAGATGTGGTGTCACTCTGTTGGTCTGTGCTAGCCTGAGACGCTTGGTATTGCTATCTGAAACCGGTTCTTGTTTGGGTAACTCGTGTAAATCGGAATTTATCCTGTGGACTTGACATGCCTCTGAAAACGAAAATAATTTCATTATATGGTGTTTCCTCGCCGTTACACTTATTTTTTTTATGATGAGAGTCAAATATATTTGCCTACAAAATCGATATTTTTCAATTAAGCAGCAATTAATTAACGAAGAACGATTGAATCGACGGCTTCTGATCTACAGTGAAAAGACATGAAAATTGAGATGCCCGCGAAGAGTTGTTTAATCTAATCTAATTAATATTTAATTCTATATCACCGCTGATATTTTCCCATTATTTTTTTATCATTGTCTGAGAGAGTGCTGAAAATATGTTGATACTTGGTCATGATTTGCTTTCATATTCATCGTCATATTTATTGGTACTTATCATCACCCTTATTTTTGTTTTACATAATCCCAAGTGAATTTCTAAGATTGAATCACTTATTGGTATGTGCGCTCTTCGGGAACAAGGATTTTTAGTTGGAGATGTTTTTAGACGATCTTGATACCGTAATCTTGAATTTTGCAAGGTCATACACAAGGCCTTATGCTTCATTTGTTTCACGACAGAACCGAATAAAGAATATTTCTTTACTCAGGTTTCCCTCGCATATCTTATATCCTCATGATATGCTTACTGATAAGAAAAAGCAGCGGTGCACTTTGGTGTCAGATTTGTTTGCGTTATTGTCTGACCTGTATTTTGAGCAGTTATTGCTTAGTCTTTTGAGTTTCTCGAAAATTCGAGAAACTCGAATTTTCGAGCATTTGAGTTTCCTACTTATGCAAAATACTGTTGGACGAGTTCAAGGACGGTCTCGCGTCCTGTTCTTTCTTTTTTTTCTCTGATAAAACTCTGATTTGAATAGGAATGCATAGTTTGTCTCTTTGGATTTCCTTTTTTTAGCAGAATTTTTTATCACAACCTCTCAATTTCTTTGCTACTCACTGATTCCTGTCCGTGGTTATTTGTTGGATGCGTTATTTTATATTAGTTACAAGCGATTAATGCAATCATTTTTTCTCGTATAAGATTACCTGCATCCGGCTGCATGACATGAATATTCATGTTTAAAACAATTTGATAATTATTTGCTGTCCTATTTTAATATCATATCGTTATTGTTTTTAGTAGTCAATACATATTATGAATCTGGTTTCTAAAATCGATCATCGTCAACATTCAATTGCTACCAGAAACGTGTTTTCTGGGAAAGATGATGCACATATGTTGAAATTTCTCAGAACCCATAATATATGGTCTAATGACGGAAGAAATTTTCATTCACATTGAGAGGGTCAACCCTGAAAAGGTTTTATCGTTGCTGGTCAGTACGGTTATGGTAAAGTATTTTCGAGTGTAAGCTTCTAAAGGAAGATTTCGTGATGGTCTGAACGTCAAGACATCAATGAAACCTTGATGAGGGCAACCATTTCGTGCAGAGCGACCTCCCACGTTTACATCAGTTACTTAGGCTCATGCCTTTTCTTGCGGTTTCGATTTATTGCCGAGTCAATTTAGCTCATTAGGCTTGTGTGCTTCTTATGGGATTACCGAGTCTTACGGACTGATAGTTTTGGCAATAATTCCATCCCCGTGCTAAACTGCACAAAACATTTGTGAAGCTATTGACAATTTCCAATTTTATCTCATTCATGATTCCATCGGAAAATGTTCATATGTTATGGCTGAAAGTTATTTACGATGTTCCCTGTTAATAAATTATGTTTAAAATGTACTTCTTTACTGTTTACAGTAAAAATTTACTCCTAAAATATTAATATGCGTACAATTCGCTCGTATTAATTATCTTCATTGACAAGAATGTTTCTTAATGTGGTATATAAGCGTCTGCTCCTCTAGAGCACATTAGGAGTCCTCACTGCGTTCTTCAAGAACCACACTTCGTGTTGGATATTTTTTGACAAGTGCTCGGAATGGCTGTACGTTGTCGCTGTCAAGTCGCATTACAGCTCTCTTCATTCTCTTCGAAATCGCGTGCTTTGTTTTTTAAGAAACATTCTGCTGGCTTTCCGTATGTTGCGGACGAGTTAGTATTAGAGTATTTCTGGTTTTGTTATTTCTTTCTATCAGCAATGTTATAGCGCGCTCTTTTTGACTCTACACTTACTTGATATTTGACCTGATGATTTATCATTCGTAAATATTCATTTGTCGTTTATTGGACGTAATATAGTTAATATCTTACGATGATTTTTAGAGAGGTTAGACTTTTTAAAACGTAGGATGTTGTGGGTTCTTTTGCCCACACAGGCACGTGGCGAGCGAGGCTCGATGTTGACACTCAGGGACCGGGGCTCTCGCATTACTCCCTTCTAAGTATGTGTGTAGGCGACCCTTGCGTCGTAAAAACCATCCCAAAGTTGAGTTATTTTTTCATGATGAAGGTACGAGTATTTTCACCACAGACTATGTAAATTGGTCTTTCCTCCACTTTATTAGTTGCTTATTGTTCGTCGGATGCTTATGCACCGTACAGTAAGTTAATTTCGCTCTTTGGTTGCTCTTAATCGATCGACTCATGTTCTGTTCAGAATGTTACGCGATTTTCAATTTAACCGTTATTTTTTTTACCTAAGTCCTCATTTTCTCCTGGTCGCACGCGTGTCAAGTATTTTGTTTGTGTGCGTATAGGTAGTTCATTGAATTAAACGTGAGAATGTCGATTCTGCATCCATCATCGCGAGTCTTTCATTAAAAAAGTATTTTACGTTTGATGTTAGCAGTCGAGCGCAGTATGAGTCATTCAGAGCTCGTGTTCAGACGTGAGGTTTAAGTAAAGCAGCTACGTAAGCCGTGCCGGTATCGCCAGCCGCTGACCTCAGCGGGCCTATATACTCTGCTTGAGCTGTTGCTGCGCTCTCCACATGCCAACACTTCCCTGACGCGCGCGCGAGCCTAACTCGGGCTTCTTGTTTGGCAAAAAACTCTACCCAGCTATTGCTTTGCTTTTCGTTATTTTTTACTGTAATTTTTTAGAATTACTTGCTACAATTTTAGACACAATTTTAGACACTGACTATACGGGGATGTTGATACATTTTATCCGATGATTAGTTCATACAACTGCAGAAATTATTTTGTTATTTATGGCGAAATCTTAGTTTTTAATAGTTTCTCTGTATAAGGCGTGTCTTGAAGGCGTGCTAATCTGTCAGTGTCATGAGCTACGAACTGATGAGGACGGCCATTGCCTTCTTTGCCGTTTATTTTGAACTTAAGTCAACACAATCATGATCTCCTATGTTTTCTTATTGTGCATGTGTGTGTGACATGTTCATCATCTTCGTTTTACTTCATCTAGGTCTTTTCTCATCGCAATTTCGATCATGTGTGCATATTGTTATTATTCAGTTCAAATATTTGAGAAGAAGTATCCCTAAGTTTGTATTTTGCTACACTTTTGTGCTTTATATTTCTGGTTTATGTGGAATGTTGTGGCACGCTTGTGAAAATTCTTCAAATATGCATAGATAATATTACTGTTGAATATTGAGTTTAATAAGTTCAATGTTACTAATAATTTCAACAAAAATGAAAACTCATTCTCTCGCCTCTTCTACAGAGTTGTGATTTGGTATTCTAGTTATATTTATTTCCGGTAATTAATGCACGTGCCAGCTTGGAGCATTCTAAAAATTTGATATTTAGTTGCCGGTTTTTAATCGAAAATCGCCCATAAACTAATATCAAGAAATAACTTACAGTAGCACATAAAAAGCCATTGACAAATTTGAACAAACAAAAGCTCCTCTTCGTATTTTTGTTGCACAAGCACAATGGTGCATCAAATTGCCGCGCCCTCGAGGGAAGTTATCCCTCAATGTCGTAAAAGCAAAGCCTGCGCCTACCCTCACATCCTGTCGTGGAGCGCCCTCAAGGAGCAAGCGCAGCGCGACAGTCTGCACACACCTGGTTTTAAAGGTCGCTCATCTCCTACGTATCGTCAACACAGCGAGGAAAGTAGAGTTCTGAATGTCAATTCATCTGGAAATGGAAAGATAGCGGCGCGTCCGGCAGCTCAATTTTCTGGAAGCGGTGTTAAATCCACCCAGAACATCCGATCAGCTCCTTATGCGAGACTGGCTAAGCCGCTTTGCTCTGTGTTTAGCAATGGGGAAAATAGTCCTCAGGTCTCATCTGATGCAACGAATATAAAGCCTGGTGTAACTGCCTTCGCTATGCCTACTTCATGTTGCGCTTCTTTCTCAGGAGCTTACGCTTCTCGTTTACTTACTCCTACTGTTGAGGAATGTACACAAAATTTCGATAGTTCTGATGGTCGTAATAAAGTGTCATGCAAGTTGCATTATAGCCCGCGTGAGCGCGTTGTGCCCGTATCCACAACAGTGAAGACACAGTCTTGTGTTGATGAACAAAATTATCTTCGCACTAGTAGCAAAGGCTCTTCGATGAGTATCGCTCGAGGAGGTCGTCAAATATCATTAAAGCAGAAAGCCACCCGCTTGGAACCTCTTCAAGAACATTCCAAATTGACTAAAAATATTCACGAAAAAAATACTCCTGAGGACCATTATTATTATGAAAACCAGAAACGCGCTTACTGCAGCAAGCAATCTAGAATTTTTTGCTCGCCGCGGGCGAGTGGAGAAAACGACTTGCAATCGAGCGAATTTCTCGTTGGACCCTCCCTGCGAGATGTAAGGTTAGCTCAAACTGTTTCGTTGGATTCATTTCCCCATTCAAGTAGTTTTGGTTATGTTGGTCACAACGATAAACACTCGTTCGGCCGAAATTCTTCATCTGCACATTCAAATCTTACGCATCCCCTGCCTCGGCATCATAGCAAGCCGAAGTCGAGAGTGTGTTTCAATGCCAAGCTGTCTTCTCGCTCAGCAGCTCCATACCTACCAGTTCTAAGTACGTCCCCTATATCGGGAGGGACGAATAAATGTTACAGTAAAGCTCCCAGAGGTCGACCAGGATTTTTAATATCAAGATCACCATCTAGTCAAACCGGTTCTTCAAGAGACTTGGGTGTCCCATCATCTGCATTTCCAATGTTCTCATCGATCACGAGAGGGTGTGCCTCTGATAACAGCATGGAACTAAGTGGCAATAGAAATCAGCTGAGCAGCACCGGCTTGACCAGTGATGCTGCGTTCAAACATACCTCGGTCTTTGACCCGCCTCTTGCATACGATTACTTCTCAGCGCCGAATACTTGTCCCGCTGAAACATCAAAGAAAATTCCTTACCAACATCACCTAAATTCATCTCCACACAACAAACACGTTTGCGAAATTATTTCATCTTACGTTCTCAAGTTTAGTCCAAGAAATCAAATGAAAAATTGTCCATCACAATGCAGTGATTCCTACTTAGCGAAGCCTGTTCAACCGTGCCCTTCTTCGAGCCCTTCTTCAGTTTTGCCTCGGTCGGACACATTTTTTGTCAGCGAAGCGTCAAACTTGCGAGAGGAAGTTTACGTTCATAAAACTTGTTTGAAGAAGGATGAGAATGTTCAGGTTAGCTGCTCGTCTTCTGTGTATCATGATAGCGCTGTTGTTAGCCGGAACTTGAAGAACCAGCTGTTACCACTTAGCGTCTGCGGAGCTCTCACCTGTCAAAATAAATCATATCGAAGAGACCAGTTTGCAAACGATGGCCAAGAGCGTGCCAGTCTAAACAAGCCCACCTCTCCGCTCATGGCAAATAAACGATCAAAACCGAACTACAAGGTACGCGATGAACAACGATCCGACAGGCGTATGAGGCATGGCCGGTTCTTCTCTGGAAACAAGTTTTCTCAACATCCATCGGACTGTGATACTGGAACAAATGGTACTCAGAAAAATAAGACTTATTTTGAATCGCTGTATGATGAACACTTACTTGAAAGACTTGTTTCATCGAGTTTGAGATGCGACGAGTTCGTGCAAAGTTCGACAGGAGCAATGGAGCTGCGACAACTTCGAGAGGTCTTCCCTGACGATGGAGAGGTTTGCTGTGTGTTTTTTCGCGTAACCATAAAGAGTTCTAACGGATTTCACGCTTGCATGCGCCAATTATTCCCCTTTGCTGGTCAGACAAACGAGCCTGGTTTGAACGAGTTCCTTAAGATTAATCCGCCTGTAAAAAAATCCTAAGCAGAATTTCCATTGTAATGTTGATAGAAACTGAGACTAGTATTCAAATGGAACGACACATCAGAGCGGAATTAATCAAAATACGTGTGATACCAACAGTGAGTTGTTATAAATGGTTTCTCGCACTTCCTCAATCGTTTACTCACCTCGCCCAAGATGAACATCCCCAGCTGCTCTTCATAAATCAACTAATAAATGCCACCAAATGTTGTCACCGCTGTTAGTTCATTGCGCATGAGTGAGCCGTATATCTTCAACGCTTCTCAGGCATAATAAACTTTTTGGTTTGTTTATGCCCACCAAATGATGTTCTTACGATCTATTGGTTACTAACATGGAGCATAAGCAAGTATTTTTACCTGCACTACTTCCGCACTGTTGATCGAAGGTATTTTGAACTTGAGCCAAGGCTTGAGCCAGCTCCCCATAAGCTCTCTGCCATGAAGCTAATGTGTGCCGCTGCGCGTGCTTCTGTCGGCCTCAACTCATCCGTGGTCGCCTCATTCCTTGGCGTGTCGCCTCAATTTTGAGCGCGTCGTTTCATTCCTTATAGCGCGCCGCGTCACTGCAAAGCGCGACGTCTGCTTCAGAGCATGTCATGTTACTACAGAGCACCTCACATTACTTCAGAGCACGTCATGTTACTTCAGAACATGTCACATTGCGTCAGTATGCGTAACATTGGGTCAATGTGCGGCACATTGCGTCAGTGTGCGTAACATTGGGCCAATGTGCGTCACATTGCGTCAGTGTGCGTAACATTGGGCCAATGTGTGTCACATTGCGTCAGTGTGCGTAACATTGGGCCAATGTGTGTCACATTGCGTCAGTGTGCGTAACATTGGGCCAATGTGCGTCCATTGGGCCAATGTGTGTCACATTGCGTCAGTGTGCGTAACATTGGGCCAATGTGTGTCACATTGCGTCAGTGTGCGTAACATTGGGCCAATGTGCGTCACATTGCGTCAGTGTGCGTCACATTGGGTCAATGTGCGTCACATTGCGTCAATGTGCGTCACATTGCGTCAGTGTGCGTTACATTGGGTCAGTGTGCGTAACATTGGGTCAATGTGCGTCACATTGCGTCAGTGTGCGTAACATTGGGTCAATGTGCGTCACATTGCGTCAGTGTGCGTAACATTGGGTCAATGTGCGTCACATTGGGTCAATGTACGTCACATTGCTTCAGTGCGCGTCACCTCACTGTAGATCATGTCACGTTATTTTCAACTCAGCGTTCCCCTCTTTATGAGTATTCAACCCGCGTCAAAGTCCTTTTTAGCGCATTTTCTCATTTATGGAAAGAATGCCCTATTTTGCTCGTCATGTCCGTCACTCACTGCAGTGAGTACTGAGTTATATTTTTTCTGTATGCCATCTTAATTACGAGAGCATTGCCCTACATCTGAACCCAGACCTTTAAACGCGTCTACTGAAATTTAGTGTGAGTATCGCTGGCACGGACTAATTTGTTGACCGTAGATCGTGATTTGCGCTGAAAAACGGGATATCAATATCACTTTGTTTTTCATGTATTTACGACATCGTAGAGATTAAAGGAATTTGGGTTATTCCTTACTCGTGTTCACGGCCTATGCCTACGAACATTGCGGTCGCGCCATGCATGCCATCTGGGCCGTGGCATTTTATCTTTAACTGAGCTACGCAGTCGCCTCGTGACTATTATTAGCGTAACCTCCTTTGTGGGTCTCAACCTTGTTTTCTTAGCTCTCTTAACGTAGCAATTTCTACACCCACTCATCAGTCGGCAAGATTTTTGTCCTAAATTTAGCTTCAATGACTTCACTCGAGCTGCTTTCCTCGTGGGGTGGTTTTGTAATTTTGGTATTTCAAATTGTATTGCTAACTGTACCATTCTTATCTACATCATCTAACGTGTGCATCAAGTAGCAAAGATAGTTGTTGGTTTTCCTCTAATAACTCTTCAACATGCACGGAACAAATTATGTTTGTTCTTGTTGAGATCTTATGATGAATTTATCTAGGGTAACGATCAGATCAAGTTGAATTGATTAACTGTCACTAGGAAATAATCCCGCAGATCTGTAAAGATTTATTTAAACTGTGTTTAAAAATTTGTCACTTTTTTATTGCTTGCGTAATTAGATTAAATTTTTTAACTGCTCCTCTGATAGATTTTTACGTTTCCCAGGGCACAAAAGGAGGCAAGGGTGGGGCGAAAACAAGCCCTGCGTCGGTCCAGGACTCCATCACGAATCCTTCTTCTGTGAACGGCGAAAACCTCGTCAACGACGCCACCACGTCCAGCGTCAGTAACTCAAGTCCCGTCCTTTCGTCACCCGCGTCGTCAGCCCTTCCTGTACGCAAGCCTGCTGGAGAAGCCAGGAAGTCTGTTGGTGAGGCGCACAAACCCGCGGTTGAGAGTAAAATACCGAGCGCAGATACTCGTAAGTTCACAAGCGATGCAGCGAAGAGGCTCAGTGAAGCGGGACGTAAGCCCGGCACCACGACTTACCAACCTGCCGAGAAATTGAGAAAAACGGGACCACATGAGCCTAATGGCGCCAAGAAAAGTCCCCTCAAGCTTGACGTGGCGGAGCGAGTGAGAGGTCGGAGCGCTTCTGGCAGGAGCTTCACTGCGTCCTCAGAATTGCGCGATGGCAGTTGGCGGTCATCTTTTGGCGCAAATAAACGGTACTGATATAATGTGGACGTATTTGGGTTTAAGTTACCACTTATCTCATGTGAGGGTTGTTTAGTCGATATCAGTGACTTGTCCTTGTCGTGTATATGTTTTTACAATATTCGTTGATATTTAGAATATCGTATTTTTTCGAATAAATCGCGATCTTTTCTTAAATCCTATTCGATATGTTGCAGTGCTCAGGATTTTCCTACTTAAAATTCATTGTCTAAACAAAATATTAACTAGTGATAGATGCCGGGGTTATTATTTCGGTGAAATTTTATTAAAAATTATTAACTGAATTGGCGCAACAACTGTTTGATATTTTTTTTATTCAGTTAACGGAAGCTAGTTTCTTTTTAATTTTGGTTTTATTATTATTAATTTAGAATTTAAATGTTACTTTTCATTTCACTTCAATATAAAAGTCTTCATTATTTCAGAGGTGACGGGAATAGCAAGCTATCATCAAGCTTACCGCGCTTCTCTACGACGCCGAGAGTTTCTGCCACCGCCTCGAAAGCCTTCACCAAAGACGGCCACAGCAAGACTATTAAAGATGAAGACCTTGTCTCTAATCGCTTAAGTCGAGGCACTACGCCCCACCGAAGTGGTGGTCGCACCGCTACCGTCACCCCGTCCGACGCACCTGCAAACAAACGATCGGTGAAGCCCCTAACTCGCTTCGGCTTCCATGATACCAGCGTGCGGTCCGGGGACAGCACCGAGAGCGTCAACTCCATCTTGAGCGACGCTAATACTACCGTCTCAGACTCCAACTCCAACCTGCTCGAATTTGAAGACGAGCAGCAAAACAATGTTAATGAGGAGATCTTGACTAATTTCGTCATTTCTGACTGCAATGTGGTCCACGCGAAGAATCTCAAGAACACCTTGTCAGTGAACTCATCGCCTCTGAATAACTCGAATTGTGAAGATGTACTCCTTCATTGCTCCAGTTCGCCCAAATCTCCGGCGAGCATCAGCCAAGCTTCATCTGGAGTCACTTCTGCTACTAAAGCCGTCACTGCGAAGCTCAAGGCTCAAAGCCACGTACTGCCTCTATTGCAGTCTCCTGCCGTCAAGTCACAACTTTCTAGTCAACCTGGTAAAACGGAAAAATTGGCCTCGCACAAGAATAATAACGTGACTTGCGTTACTAAAAATACGAAGACCCCTGCTTCTTATGGCCACAATGATTCCAATCAAAAAGTTGATGTTAGTTCTTATTTACCGCAACCTGCTTGCATTCAAAAAATTTCTCAGAATCTCTCTTCTTGTCCTGTTACATTCAAGGCTATTACAAGCGGCTCGATTCCCAAGCCTTCATCTACAACCCCTTCGCCCGTTGAAGAGACGGCAATCACCTCGCACAAATCTCTTGCAACTGCTGACTCAGGCCTGGGGTCGTCCACAGAAGGAGAAAAGTTGAAAGTAATCGATGGCAAAACTCATGAATGTTCTAATCAGATAATAAATCATCCTGTCACCAGCGTGTGTCGGTCCACAGAAGTTATCGCCGCACTTCAGTCTCAGCTTAAGAGTTCTGATCATAACACGAAGACATCATCGTTGAATGGCCGTGTGGATTTTGTTGTCCCTGCCAGCGAATGTGTGCAGCTGACTCCGTCTCCAGATGACACGATGAAATCTTCACTCATTGACGAGTCTGATAAATGGCTTAGAGAGAAAAAGAACAGCATGGGTAAAGCTTCAAAATTACAAACTGGAAGTCTTTTGAAACCTGCCACCAAGTTACGTACAATATTCCCCAAGAACGAAACGTCTCACGAAAATCCTGCTGCCTCTGGTAATCCTAGCATTAAAAATGATTCATCTTATACCTCTCCGATTGTACCTGATACGCACCTCAGCTTTGGCATTGCGCGTCAAAAGTTTGCTGAGTATGAAAGGAGTCGCATCGTCCGAAGATCAGAAACCATTGAACCTACAACAGGGATCCACCGCCCTCGAACCAAATTAGGCAAATCGCCCTCAGATCCTGGTTGGTTTGCTCCTGTGCTTTATGACAACAAACATCAAGGAAATTTCTCCTCGGTCAACAAATTTTCTTACATTCGTCCAACCTCGCTTGTGAAAAATCCCATTCTGGTAACTCCCGTGTCAAATGAGGTTGTGGAGATCAGTAAGCCTATCTTGAAGCGGCTTGAATACACTGAAGGTCAAACGTATCTAAGCAACTCATCTGATTCGGCTGCTGGTGAAAGGGTTACTAACAGGAAGAATTCCACTGAAGATCTTCTGATGGTATCATCAACAGTACAGCAAGGGAAAGATTCCGCTGCATGTGATGACATCGAATGTCGATCTTCAAATGATCTCAGAGATATTGAATTTAGCGTAAAATTGAATCACAAGTCAAATGCACCGACTGTTCATGTATTAGAAAGCCCCATTTTGGAGAATGATCGTGATATCAGCAACTCAAAACTCAGCGTTCTGAGCTTAGACTCTCCCAGCGCCCACAGCAAAGTGGACAATAAGGTTTCCTCTCCGGGCTCAGAAACTTCTTTCGAAGTATTGGACACACCCAGTGAAGGCCTTGATGACCAAACTGTTTGTAACTTTGTCTCGTACCAGGACCCTAGGGGAGAAGGCGACGCCACTCAAGACTTACGCCAGCAGATGCAGGATCTTCAGTCACATGAAATTGGATCTGAAGTTCTCGGTAGCCATTCATCTGAGGAGCGAGCGCTCATCGAGTCATGTATTGGCAATATTGAGCCTGAAAAAGATGGACAGCTAGAAAACTTTGCAAACAAATCTGAAAATACGGTGACTGGTCGAGCTAAAAATGGCTCATCTTCTGTCAGCAGTGAACGTTCTACATCGCTCCATGAAGATGATTTAGTCTCGTCTCTGGAAAGGTCCTTACTTGTCGAGTCCCTCACCAACACGGTCATGTCTGAGAGCATGGAAGTTTCAGCCAGTGCAAGTATGACTTCGTCTATAACTTCTCATGACCCCTCATACACCAATGACCCAAGCACCTTCTATAGCTTTACTGCCCCCTCGTTCAATAACGTTGAGTCTGATAGTCGAGATGCAGACAAGCCGGACGCAGGAAAAGCTTCCAACTCGGACGAAATGAAAAATTTCATGAACAATCTTATGAATTCTAAACTGGAAATTGTTGATATTCTTAATAATTTTACAATACAGCACAAGGACCAAGAAACCACGACTTCTATCACACAAAAGCATGCAAATGAAAACGAGTCGACTCCCGAGAAATCTATTTTACTAGACGACGATGTTGAAGGAAAACATTCCAATTTATCACTCAGTAAACTGAGCCCAGTCTCATATTGTGATGAAGCAACTCCAGTTCTCGCCTCTACTTCTGGAAATAACGATCAAAATGTAACCTCAGAAAGAACCTTAACTGTCGATGATGATGGTTCGGCAACGGTGATGTGCACGAGCAACGACAGCGCTTCATTTGAATGCGCAACTCCTAACCTTCAAACAAAACATTCCCATGACTCATACTCCATCGGTGCCAACTCTTCAGGTGTGGATATCGACCAAGACTTCCTCATCGACGATGAGATCAGCGACCAGCCAGACTTGACGTTCGTTGGAGGCGACGACGCTTGTGCTGAGCGTTCAGAGCTCGGTTATCTGCTTGAAAATACGTCCCTCCGTCGGTCCAGAGACTTCATCAGCTCTCGTCAGTGTACCGCGCTGAGCAGGAGCGACTTCAGTGCTGAGAGAATTAAATCTTCGCGGACGAAGGACACGGCAAGCAGTACCCCGCTGGATCAGAAAGGACCGTCGGACGGTGGTAGAGAGGACCTGATGGCCTCGGCGACAAGCGATGAAGGAATCTCGGGAGATGATTTGGATGCGCCGTCGCCATGTCACGCTATACGAAGGATCGGTGAGTTCTCGCCAGTTCTTGAACCACAAAAAGTGTGAAAACCTTTTAAAATTAACAGTATGTGTATTTTTATGACGTATTTACAATTTGCGGCGGCTCCTGCCTACGCATTTTCAACTGCTTGCGAGTTTTCTTCAGCTACCGTATTTCCTACATGGCACATTTCTGGTTTAAGTAATGTCTGTTGTATCATATCGTTGTATTCTTCGGGAATTGAGATAAGTATTTTATGGTTTATGTACATGAAATTTCACGTTATGTGTAACAAAGCTAACTGCGCGTGTTGCTTGTACCATTTGTCAGGTCGAGCGTTGTCTGACGCAGACGATTCGTCGTGTCCGGGACCGAGAGGACGTCCGGAAAGCGTGTGCACCTTGGCATCAAGTCTTGATCCTGATGACTTCATGCTCGACTTCGAGGCCGAAGACTTCGCTAACAGGTAGGAACTTCCAGTGTTATTTTATTCAGCCATTTTATTCAGCCAGAATTCATGGGTATTCTCGTGTCTTCAGAAAAACGTGAGTTGGTTGACATCACTGACAAATTTGTTAGTATTTACCCCGAGCGTTATTGTTCCTTGATAAATAATTCCTTTTAAGTGTTGAACGTTCTATTCTTAAATTTCTGCCGTTTCATCGATTGGTGTCCTCACTTTTTTTACTTCTTCCCGATTTTCTTTCTCTTTTATTTTCGTTCACATTTCAAGCTATTACATATAGGAAAAATCGCGTGCTACAGTTCACGTTTTGACTTATTGCTTAATCGATTGTGGAACGTGATTCAATGTGACATCTCTTATCGATTTAGTTTCATCCTTTTTAGCAAATTTTCTCATTTATGGAAAAAATGCACTATTGTGCTCGTCATGTCCGTCCGTCTGTCTGTTTGTCCGTCCGTCCGTCCGTGATTTCACGTTTTCGTCGACGAGAAAATGCGCTCTCTGTCACTCACTGCAATGAGTACTGAGTTATATTTTTTGGAGTTAAGTTCATGTTAGAAGTATAGATTAGAGCGTTGATACAAACTACCATTCTGTACCGCGATAGCTGACGACCGAAGAGTCGTGGCTACTAATTTGAGGCGTGTGATTTATTGCGAGGATGCTGAGAGATCTCGACCGTGGGAAACTGTAAGATTCGCCGTCTAGTCCGCTTGCAACGCTATTTTCTGTTGGGTCTCGTCATGTGCTGTGTCAAGCTCTATTTTCTCGTTGCTGGGCAAACTTCTTTGTTTGTAGCTTATGTACGTCGATCGCACTCGTTGTGTGAGTGGCACATTTTTTTTAAATATCCAGCTATTCTATTGCGATCTGTTATCCGAACCTAATGATGCGCTTGCTTGTGTTTTTTTTTTTTGTAATTCGTCGTCTTGGTTCATTTGCACGTCACGAAGTGTGGTGTTATACAAATGCCGCTTTGGCTTCATATTTCGCCGCAGTACCAGCCTAGCACGTCTTATTCTATACGAAAAAGCTATTTATGACGTTTGCATTTATTTAGTTGACAATAACTTTCTGGCAAGTAATATCTGCTGGAATAAAAATCTAAGCATCTCGAGTCAAATGCTTTCAGTCCATTAACTGATTGGAGAATATTTTATTTTGCTTGTTAATTTTCTTTGTGTGTTTTCAACTTACAAGTTAGCAAAAATAAAGCTACCAAGAAATAATAACATAAAGCTACCACAATAAAAGCAGAAAATGAAGCGACTTCTCTTTTGAATGCAGTTCTGCTGAAAAGAGTAGCTGAGGTATGTGCTGTATTGGCGATGACGCACGTTCACAGCTGCGTATTCGCTTTGTTGTAATGAGTCGCTTTGACCCGACATGCTCACCTGGTGCAGGTGTGCCAGCACCATTCTATGTGTCGTGCTGTGATGCAGTGAGTGCACCGCATAGCAGTTCAGTTCAGTGTAGTGGTGACGATGTGTCGCGCAGGTGATGGTGTAGCCCCGCTACTGCTCGCGGTTGAGGCCAGCCGCCAGTCAGTTGGCTTCCAGCAGAGCTCCATGTCGCAAGCTGACTCCGTTCATATAATATTTTGTGTTCTGTCTAGTGAACTAGTGCGTTGTTTATGAAGTGATAAAATGCAGGTTTATTGCTAAGAAAGTGTTGTGAAGGAAGTGATATAGGGCCTCAACTTATTTTATAATTTTCGAGTTAAGCTTCGTTTTGAAATTTCAAGCTGGTAATATTTACACTGGTTGACGCTAGTAAGCTTTTACAATTTCGTAATCTTGTTGGTGGCCGTGTTGACTGTATCGCAGGCTTCTTCATGCTAGCCTAAGCCTAGTATTTGCTATTCTGTTGTGGAACCGTGCGAGGGACACAAAATACCATGTTCTAAAACAATATTAACATTCTGTGAGCTTTGATAAACGTCGAATTAAAAAACGACACTTTTGGTCTGTTTTCAGCGAAAGAAATGCTTATTCTCCGGCTATCTTCGTTGTTTACTAAAATTGTCGGTTTTCATCAAGTTTAATGTGTTAACGAACGTTTGAAATTTTGGAACGAAAACGATAGTTCTGTGCTCTAAAAAATTACGCTCGGTCTTCCAGGAACGCCTCAGGTGTTGTGATTGTTAGAACATACGATGCAATGCAACGCAATTCGTCTTGATTATGCTCCTATAATTCTGCTCATTCAATTTTAAAATGAATTTTGAAGAGGATTTTAATTAGTAACACATTATTTTGATTCGCCTGTTTGATAATAATTGAAATTTATCTATACCTAGTACAAGTCAATTATAATTGAGGCTACGCTTGGTGCGTGCGAGTGCGAGGAACTGCCTACCGCGAAGCCACATCCCGTTGTCCCGAGCGCCTTCAATTGCATGCCCCCTACCACCGCGCATTTCTGGAATTTCCTCAACGACTGTCAGTTCAATGGTGCTAGAAGAAGTTTGACTTTGAAGCTCTTCTTTATGCCGGGATATTGTTTTATCTGCTATTATAATGCAGAGGCTTAATGGCAACTGTTGTTTTATTGCTCACATTGAGGTTTTTCATGTTTCTGAAAACCGAATATTTTCATAGATATCAAGTTATGTTTTTTTGCAGTCATCTCGCGCGTCAACTGAAAGACACCTGAAAGTAGCCCAATGAGATGAATAGGCTGCCTAACTGAGCTCCTTACGATTACGGAAGTTGCGAGTAATTGGGTTGGCCTTCTCCCAAGTGCCTTCACTTTTTTACGTCCAACTTTCTGTTTGATGATAGACTTGCGTGATGTGTTGGCAATTTTTAGTGGTCGGTCAACTCTCGAATGAACGGCTGCATGGGTAGGCTGGAGGCTGGCCCGTTTACGCGACATTTCCTCCGCAACTCTCTTGCCTAATTCATGCCAGAACTACTCGTTGCTTTCGTATACTGGCTTCCGATAACTACTAATGAATTTTTGTATAATGAACTTGTTATACGATTCCAACCTATCTGTAGATGATAACATCCACGACTCGGAATTTGCTTCAAAAGACTGAAGGCGATGCGGTAGTTTCTCAGCGATTTGGCTTTGCCTGATAGTGGCGTTTATTTGGTCTAGCATATCCATGACAAATGGATATGCCGATCAATTTGTTCACATTCTTGGGACAATTACTGTGAAGATAGCAGCGTATCTATGCCAAGTATCGAGACGCTCGAGTCCACACTGAGCATCGCAGCACAAAACTTCACTCGCCCTTGAAGTCTCTATTCCTCGACGTTTCCTGTAGTACTCGTACATGTGTTGCTGCATTCCTACGTCACGTTTGCAACCATCGCGTTAGAATACAATTGTTGTATGAAAACTTACTATTGAACGTATAAATATTGTATATAGAATACATCTGTGATAAAAAGTTATGGTCAGTTAATTTAGCTCGTATTTTCTAGCAACGTGGTGCAATTCATCAGCGCATCTGGGCACTTTATCAGCGTACGTGCGTATTTTGGAGAATTTAATTTCAGAGCCATGAAAGTAGAGTACTTGAAACTGGTAGGTTATATAAGGCAAATGCTGCGACCCAAACCATGCACGTTTGATATACTAGTCCCTGATGGACATTTATACTTATTGATAGTTGTTGCCATGAAGTTGTCAATAATTTGAACACCTGCAGACTTTTGCACGATATCAACTATTTGTGAGTCAGAGCTGTTCGTCTCACTTGGTGATTGGTGATTCTTTTTAGCGCATTTTCTCATTTATGAAAAAAATGCACTATTGTGCTCGCCATGTTCGTCTGTCTGTCTGTCCGTCCGTCTGTCCGTGACCTCAAGCTTTCGTCGACGAGAAAATGCGCTCTCTGTCACTCACTGCTACCTATACCCTATAGTATAGAGGTGTAGTTTTTTTAGTTATATTTTTTTAAACGTTGATGCGCTGCGGTCAGTAAATATTTCGCGTTACGAGTAGCGCGCACGCTCTGCACGTTCTAGCTGCTCTGTATGCTTGTCTTACAGTTATCGTAAACTTGTAGATGCGCGTGCGTGCGTTCATGATCTCGAACACTATTGAACAGCCAACTTCTCTATGTAGTTGGTGGCCGACCGTTGGTCTAATAGAAGCCACCGACACTGCACGTATGACTTTACATTAGTGGATGGTAATTTATTCATTCAACCTCTTGTATCCGTGTTTTTTTTATGAATTGATTTCGAGCCATAGTTCCTTTTTCTTATGATGGTCGAGGAATTAGTATTCAAGAAATAAGGTTTTTGATTTCAGTTTTTTTAATCGCCATGATAAGCCTTTCAGAGTCAAATGAAACGCTCAGTTATCCTCGTTCGCTCTTAACGATCTGGTTTTTTTCACATCGTTCTGTTCAATTTTTAAGCTATCGTCTTTTCTCAACCTACAAGTAACAACCTCTTCGCTGATGTGCATAGATGAAATGCTGTCAAAAACTGCTAATTCAGGGCTTGAGCCTCGAGCAACCCTTTTCTTCACAGTAAATTTTTCCTTGCCATCTTGGCTGCGTTGTTCTAAATCTTTCTGCAGTTGCTCCTTACTGCCAGAAATTCGACGGCTGCTACTTCTGTTACTGTATGAGCCTATTGCAGTACCATTGTTGTATTATGTTCTGTTTTGTTCTTTGCCGTCGCGGTGCTACCCTTCACTGATCCGCCTCAACGGTAAATTCAGTAATTGTACGGCCATTATTTCCCTCCCTCTTGCTGTAGCTTATGTCTATAGCCTATACGAGCGAAGCTATAATTTTCTAGAGTCGGATTTTCAGTGTATCTTCAATTGAAACATAGATTGCACTGCGCTGAAAACGGTTTTTTTCGCTATTCGAATGTCAAATTTTTCTTTGTTTGAATTGTTACCTCAAAGCGTGATCTTAATTGATATTTTAAATAATTTACTATCATTAATCTCTGGGAAAAGTTTGAAACTTCCAAGTGTTTGAACTTGATTTAGCCTAAACTGATTCGTTCGAATTCTCGATAAAT